CGCCTGATAACGAAGGATAATGTCCTTGTTTGGTCACGTAAATGTATGATTTAAATTGAAAATAAATTAAAATATTAAAACTTAAATTGATAAAATTAAAAGTTTAAAATTTATTTCGTTTCAATGCTCAAACTTTTAAAAAAAAATTATTTGTAATTTTTTTTCATTTTTTTATATTTAAAATTATTATATATATATATATATATATAATAAAGAAAATTGGGTAGTGGAGACATGATGATCAAAATAGGATAAGGGGGTTAAAATAAAATAAAATAAAATAATGATGGGTGTGCAAACTTTCGTTTGCTTTGCAAAAAAGATGGATTAAAATAAATAGAAAAAAAAGAAAAGAAAAGAAAGTAGAGTGGGGAACAGGAGTGCATTGATTATTTGATATAATAATAATAGTAATAAAAATAAAAAATAAAAAGTTAGACCACTTGAGGTTCACTTTACCGAGGATAAGATTACAAATGGATGTTGTGACCTTGCTCCACTGGAAAACATCACCATCATCAAACTCCAAGGTTAGAGTTCCAACAGGGTCAAGCTGAATTGATGTCCCCCAAAATTTGGTTCTTCATTGTTCTTTGGAGGCTCCACAAACTTGAATACAGTTGCTATGATAGTCTCACCAGGAGCAAGAATAGCCCCTGGAGGACGCATGAAACAGCTTCTTCTTTGATGTCCCCTGGGAAGAAGAGATCTTTCCGCAGACGAGACCGAGCTCGAGCTTGAGCTTGAAGTGTTGCTGTGTGGATTCGATCCTTCGACCTGTGAACTCTGATGATGAGCAATGTGAGACGAAGACGAAGACGACGTCGTAGAATGCGAATTCACCGATTGCCGAACAAGGCGAGGCTGATTATTAGGGATTGGAAGTGAATCTGATTATTACAGATTACTGTATGCCTGGAATGACAGGCTATGATTTGCTCAAGAAAATTAAGGAATCTTCATCTCTGAGAAATATAACAGTAGTGATTATGTCATCTGAGAATTTTCCTCATATGATGAAAACCAAACATTTGAATCAGCAACAACAAGAAGATCAAGATCAAGAAGAATAATTGGTGGCAGCGGAGTGAAGGTATGTGTAAAGGTCCGGCGGGCGGCCAAGGCGATTCTGCCGCCCGTCGGTGAAGCAGAATTATTAGCTTCTTAACTTGGCTTTGATACTATGTAAAAATTCAATGTATAAAAAAGAAATAGAGAATTGTATTATTGATTGATATATGTTGTTGTATAGATATTTATTACAATGATTCATGATTCCTATATATAGAAGAGGGTGAGTGTGTAGTAGGTAAGGAGTAGGTGAAGTGGAGGTGGTAGTGGTGTAGTGGGTTAGGTTTAGTGGAGTAGGTTTAAGTGGGTGAAGTAGGTGGAGAGTAGGTGGATTTTAACAATTTTCTTAAAGCATGGTTAATGACAAAAATTTGTGCAATTTTTTTGCATTTATTTGTTTTGTGAATGCGGTCATTTGTGCATAACATCTACTTGTTCATGCCTGTCGTTCTAAATGATCATGAATATTACTCAGTTTTTCTGGTGGTGCTGTACAATAAATTTGTTTTGGAGGAGAAACTGTATGTCATTCTTATAACTATAGATTAATGTATCAACTGGATCTGTTGCCTTAGCAAAGTGAGGATGGTTTGCCACAAGCAATTACCATGTTTGTGGATGAATATTTCCAATTGAACGTATACTGATAGTTAATGGAGTGTGTAGTTGTGTTGAATTTATGCTTTATCTGGTGTCTTAGCATCCACTTGCCCCACAGGTTGGCACTCTGAAGTTTATTTTGCAGTTGGTAATGTAGAATCCTTCCATTTCCTTCAGGATTTATTTCTTTATTCCCTAGTCTTGTTTTTGAGGAGTGATCTTGGGAGGATACGGAGTTCTATCTTTGTTTTGAACTCTTTATTTATTTTATTTTATTTTATCATGATTAAAAACTTCCAAAAAAAATAAAAAAAATAAAAAAATAAATAAAACAAAAGATTTAGAAGTGGAGAAAAGAAAAGCAAGGTTTCTTTGTGCTCTTAATTAAACAAATGGAATCATGTGAAAGAAGGGATTTTTCACCTCTATCTGTAGATTCATTGTTAACTTGCACCTGATTTATTTGTATAGGTTGAGATTTGAGTGTCATTATGTTTTGTTATTTTTTCAAACTTTTTAAAGTATACACTTAATTGTTTTCCCTAAAAAGTGCCTTCTTTCTTCTTCGTGATGCAGTCATATGAAGAATACCTGGAGGTCCATAGCAAAGGCAATAAACAATTATACCATCCTGTTAGTATACTTCTCTGTCATTATCCTGATGATTAATATGCTATTTTTTCCCTCTAAATTGTCACTATTGTGTTCTTTATTACTGGTGGACGACTATGGTGTGTACCTATTGGTGAGGATATTAAACTATTAGACTCAGTTTATAGTTAGATTTTTGTTTCTGGTTTCCAGTTCTATAGTTTCCAAGTAATTGCTTTTATGAATGGCCAAAATGGAGGCAAAGGAAACCTTGTGCTAGAGCCCATGTATTGGAACTTATCGTAGTGTTGCTAAAGGTGTCCAGTCCAGTTCGAGCAAAGGGTTTTTGGTTGCTTAAGTTTTGATCAGTGTTTTATGGCCCTTGCATCCATTTTGTAGTCAATCCACCCTCCACCTGATGTTGGCTTGGAAGCCTCCTCTTGATTGGGTCGTCTGGTTGGACTGCTGTCCGTAATGCTAGTAGGAACTCCAATGATGGGTATTTGCAGTGTTGGAAATGCCGCTACTGGAGCCTCCCAATTGTTTATAGAAACCTGTTCACCTTAAGTAAACCAAACCAAACCAAACCAATCGTAGTCTCCCAATCAAGTCAATCAAGTGGGATCGGCTACATGAATCTTTTGTTTTCATTTAGTTTTATCAAGGGCTATATGTTCAGTTAATGAACTTGTGCAAGACCTGAAGCAGCTTTATCCTAATGTGATCCGTCCAAATTTATTAAAAGCTTGGCACTTTAGCCAGGAAGTTCCTCTTTTATATTTCCTAATTTATTGTGTTGGTCATAAAGCCTTAGACTGAGCCATATTGCAAATGATGCTTTTGACAGGCAGCTGGGTCGTCGTGGAGAACACAGGAGTCAACTAGTAAAGTTCATGGTGATGATTCGTAAGTCTACTGATGTTATATTACTGAATTAACAATAACCATTCCATAAAACTCCATTTGGTTAGGTTAACATTAAATACTTTACAGATACTCACCCAGCCGCTCAAATAAGAGGATTCATCATTCATTGTACAAGTGATTGCATGTCAAACAAACAAGGCTGTGTCTTGGTGTGGTGTTGCTAATGCTGGACAATGTTTTGATGGGTTCTTTTCCATTTTCCTGGAATTCAATCACTCAGTCAAGTTGTTTTAATCCCTTCAACTGCGGCTTAATGTTGTCATGTTGTATACACTATTTGCATTTGTATTTGTACTCTATTATGTGAATAATTGTTTTTTTGGTTGTTGTTGTTGCTAGATGTGGGAAAACTTGTACATAAAGTGAATTGACCCTGAGACTGTGACTACGTGTTCTCGTCTTTTTTATTTAAAGATTTAAATTGTCTCTTCTTTCCCTCTCTTCCCATCAAATAGTGGGAGTGAATGGAATGGAATGCTGATGTAAGCTGGTCTGAACTATGTTTTAACCTTAGAACTGGCTTCAATTTGGTTAGGCATGTAATATCATTAACTTTGACTGGTTATGAGATGTTAAGACTGTATATTTAATGAGATGGGTGTAAATTTTGTACTTGGGTGTTTTTGAGCTACCTTAAAGGAACCTTAGTTTATGCTGGTGATGCTTTCTTTGTGGCTTATTGAAAATGGTTTGAAAAATTATTTGGCATGTAACTAAAATTATAAACTCAGGGTAGTTCATCGCCACAGTGGAGAGGAATTATTCACCGAAACAATCCCAGTTGTTAGATCAGGTTAGGAGGAAATTCAGCTATTGGTTGGTAATGAGTAAAATTTGATGTAGGATTAAAGTTGATTTTATTTGGTTGTCGTTTGGCAATAGGTTTTTTTGACTTTTTGACTATTTTAACCCGAGACTAAAAGTTTGTTTGGTTTGGTTTGGTTTGATTTTTTTGACTTTTGTGAGAGAAAAAAATAAAATAATTATAGTTTATTTAGCTTATTTTGTCTCGTGTTTTTTTAGCTAAAAAGTTGAAGCCAAACAAACCCTAATCTCACAATGTAATTAACAAATTAGATCTATTAATCACTAGAATTGATTTTATTGTATTGAAGTTCTTTTATTATTTTTTTTAGGAACATTGTATTGAAGTTCAATGGTCAATCCTATGTTTTTGTACTGTTTTGCGCACACAGATATTTGAAGCTACTTGGGGTGGGTTTGGCAAGGGCTCATTGGGCTTTAAAATTCAGAATAGGCTCATGAGCCACAACAGACAAAACATCCCATCCAACCCCATAATCATTACACTCTTCTCTCACAAAAAAATCAAAAAAGCCAAAAAGCCAAAAGCGCTTCCCAAACCAAGCTTTTGAGCCCAGGTTCATATAGTCAAAAAAGTCAAAAAGCCAACTCACTTTCCAAACGGAGGCTTAGTTCACTGCACTATCTAGTTGAATTTATGGTTCATTACAACTTATATTTATCGTTTATGTTGTCAATCTTTAATGTAAAGATTAATAAACAAAAAGTATATTGATTAAACCACAAAATTACATAATTTTATTATATTTATTTTAAAAAATATACTATATGTTTGTAAAAATAAATATAATTAATGATTATTAAATATATTATTATTATTGTTGTTATTTATGTACAATATTCACAAGCAACTGATAAAATGAAGGAGAAATTACCAGAAACAGATTTATAGAAAAATTTATGATGTTAATTATTGATATTTATAAAGTTATTAGTTATTTATAATTAATTTTTAAAATTAACACTAGGCCTTGTTTGGCGAGTTAATATTTTAGTCAAAAAGTTATTAAAAAAGTCAAAAAGCATATAACTTATATCAAAAAGTAAAAGATTCATTTTTCTCTTTATTTTTTACACATCTTTTCGTAAAAAATTAAAAAATCATTCCAAATATATTAATTTTTTTACCTCATATTTTAGCTAAAAAATTAAAAAATTATTAAAATAGCATGTTTCTAAACGAGACCTGAATTATAATTTCCATTTAAATAAACTGAAATGAAATCAGTGTATCCGACTATACGGTGGCAAGCCCAGTAATTAACTTATATTAAAAAGTAAAAGATTCACTTTTATCTTTATTTTTTACACATCTTTTCGTAAAAAATTAAAAAATCACCCCAAATATATTAATTTTTTTACCTCATATTTTAGCTAAAAAATTAAAAAATTATTAAAATAGCATGTTTCTAAACGAGACCTGAATTATAATTTCCATTTAAATAAACTGAAATGAAATCAGTGTATCCGACTATACGGTGGCAAGCCCAGTAATCTATAGTGGGTGTTTGAGACTTGCTTATTTGATATATATTTTTTTAGTTTATTTTCTTATTTAATGAACCATTTTTAAATTTTTAAAAAAGTTTTAGGCTTCTAAAATGAAACTAACGAGATGAATTGGCAAAATTAAATTTTTCAAAAAAAAATTCAGAAAAGACAAAAAAAATGTCAAAAATAGTGAAGTATTTTGGCTTATTTTGGTTTATTAAATTTTTAAATTTTGTTTTAAGATTCATCTTGCGTAGACGGACCGAAAAATTAAAAAAATTCGACATAATTTAATAAAAAAAGAAGTCATTAAAGACCGAAAAAAAAAGAGAGAAAAAGAGGTGGCTTTTTTAACTAATAAGTAAACTTTCCAAAAATTTGCGTCTAAATATATTTGGGACAAGAGAAATATTTGGGATCTCTTTTTTGGGAATTTGATAATTACTAATTTGATCTTGGCCCATAATATGTGTGTGGAATCCACTCATGTATGTGTGGTCTTTACATTATGAGTGATTGGGATGAAAATGTGGGTTGTAGGCAGGCCAGCCTTGGGCATAGGCCCACTAGGCCATGGCTTAGGGCCCCCTCAAAATATACCCCAAAAAGGGCCTCCATTCTATTATAATAATTTAGTGTAATATATTATGTATGTTTTAAGCCTAAAAAAAAATTAAGGAAGGCCCAAACTAATTTAAAATAGGAATTTTTGGTAAAAAGCCTCTCCCATTGGGCCTATTTTGTGTGAAACCCGAAATAAAACAATGAGCCCAAAAGCCCCTCAATTAAAAAAATATTATGAATTGACTGAAATGTCCTTCCATATATGTGGGAAAATATGAAACAATCGCACCTTTTTTCTCCCCTCGCTCTGTTTCATCGTTTGACAACCCTCCTCTGAGTATCCTCATTCGAAAACCCTAGCCTTATTCGAAAACCCTAGCATCGATTGAAAACCCTTCTCTGAGTCTCATTACTCATGCTCTCTAGAGATACTTTGTCTTTCTACTGCTGGAACGTTACAAGTTCGTCGCTTGGGCTCGAATCGAACTCCGCATTACGCTTTACTCTCTCTCTTGGACACAGATTTTGCAGGTGATTTTTTCCCCTTTCTGCTAGTTTTTCGATGTTATGAAGTCTATCTGGGTAGTGGTGTATGAGATTACGTTTTTATTTTGCGAGTATTTTAAGGATTTTTTTTTTTCTTTTTTTTTTTCTCATTGTCGCATTAGGGTGAGTAGAGTTTGAGATTTTGGGTTACACTAAGGATCATCTGTTCTAAAATTTTTATCACTATCTTAAAATACTTTAAATTACTAAATCATGTGAGAATGTTAAGGTTTAAAAATTTTGAAAACTAATTTAGGTATTTCAGAATGTTGTATGCAGTTTCGCTTCAATAAAAGTTTACTGTCTCACTGAATGTGTAAATTTCAATAAAAATTTAGGTATTTCTGTAATCAGAATAAAATTTTACTTTCAATAAAAGTAAAGTTTTACTGCCAAAGAAAGTAAAACTTTACTGTTTCATTGAATGTGTTTTGGTCCTGCAATTTCAATGCTTTCAATTGCTTCATGAATTTTTCAGAGTAAAATTTTACTTCCAACCAGAGTAAAATTTTGCTTAAACTCTAGCCTTTTCTTATTACATAAATGTGCATATAAATATGCATATCTATTTATGTATATGAATGTGATTGAAGTTTCGTCATTTCTCTGATTTCTGTTTGAAGTAAAACTTTACTGTCTCATTGAATGTGTTTTGGTCCTGCAATTTCAATACTTTCAATTGCTTCATGATTTTTTCAGAGTAAAATTTTACTTCCAACTAGAGTAAAATTTTACTTTAACTCTAGGCTTTGCTCATTACATGATTTTTTGTATGTGTTTTTGGCTTATTTCCTAGGGTATATTGTTCAGAGTAAAATTTTACTTTCAATAAAAGTAAAGTTTTACTGCCAAACAAAGTAAAACTTTACTATCTCATTACAATGCTTGTGCATTTTCTTTAGTACTTATTTGTTTTCTCATTTTGTTGTTTAAACTAAAATGTTACACTGTTGATATAGGGAAACTTTTTACTGTTTTAAAATGGTTGTTACAAGAAGCAAATGTGGTGGTGATTATGATGATGATGATTTTGAAGTTCCACCAACTGTTATTCAAAAGAAGAAAGTCCCTAAAAAAAAGGCAAAAGTAGTAAAGAAGTTCAGTCCAATGCTAGTGATGATGAAGGCTGTATGCCTTCAACAACAAAACCTTCGAAGTTGAATGTTGTACATGGAGTACGGGAGAGAGAGAATTATGTGAAGCAATATAGGTCAAATATTGTTTCACTGATAAACATAATGCAAGACACGAGGTTCACTGAAAGACATATTAGTATCCTCGAGAGAACACCTTTTGGGATATTGTTTAAATCTTTTTGGAAGAAAGAAGATGTGGTGTTAAAGAAGTTCAAGAAAATTGATGATAATGTCATGGATGTGATCAAATGTTATGACTTTCATGCAAAGGGATTTAAGCTTTGGGGGAAAACGTGTGACATACGGGACAGTGACGTTACTTTTATTTTTGGGATAAAATCGGGAACGAAAAAAGTAGACGTCTCATATGGGAAGAAACAAGAATCAGCTTTTGTGTAGAGAAGGTTTCGTAATATGTCAAGAATATCCATAAAGAGTTTGCGAGAGGCATTAGGAGATGCATTGGAAGGCACAACGACAGTTGATGTTGAGGATGTTGCCCGAATAATGTACTTGTTTGTTGTGGTAACTTTGCTATTACCAATAACTGGTCTAACAGTTGGATGGGCTTTTGTCGCCCTTGTAGAAGATCTGAAAATGATGAATTCATATGCATGGTCGACTGCAGTTGCATCCACGTTGACTACTTCAATCCATTCTTCGTTAGGAAGTCCTGAAAATATAACTGGATGTGTACTTCTTCTTTTGGTAAGTAAATTGAAATACTTGAAATATTATGCAATCTATCTTTAGAGAATTAACTAATTTTGATTTTTTATTTTACAGTACTGGTTATGCGAGCATACTACCCTCATTCAACCTCAAGGAAAAAATTTGTGTCCAAGGCTCCTTCTATGAGACTTTTCAACGTTGAGGAAAAAGCTAATGAAGAGGTCATTGCAAACACTAAAGCCTGCAGAGGTATCATTTTCCAAACTCAGCCTTACTGGTTCATTTTTCTTAAAATTATACTTACATAATAAAACTTACACTTGAACAGAGTAAAAGTTTACTTAAAATTGGAGTAAAAGTTTAGTTATAATTAGAGTA